CATATTACTGGTATCCCTTGCTCAGTAGCTGATAGTTGTTGATAGACCTGTTTATAGTAAAGCCATTCTGCAGGTCGTGAAAAGCCAGCTCAGAAGAGCCCATGGTTAAGGCATTAACACATAAAGCATGCACTGAATCAGACAGTCCAGCACTCAAACGTTGACTGATCCTCTGATTTAATACAGGGTTGTGAGCTGCTGCGGTATTCTTCAACTCTTCCCACCTATAGACCTACACAAATATTCTAGGTGGAACATGAGAAAACTTTTCTGAAGCTTTCATGAATGTTAGATATGCTCCCTGTCTCCAAAACCCTGTAAGTTGCTGTGTTAAAGTACTATGTTTAGCATTCATTTAAACAGTGAGCTCTTTTCTAGAAAACATCCTTTTGAACTGTAGCAAAAATAAAAATCTTTCCAGATAAGTCCACATAACTGAAGTGGCTATTGATCTTCAAACAAAGACGTCTTCAAGAAAGAAACAGGCCCCACTGTTTGCCTGGGCCCTTAATAAACTTGGCCTATTTGGGGGACTGGAAAAATTTAAATGATCTTTACATAAAGTTCTCCAACAGTTCTCTCAGCACTTTTATTAATACTGCAGTTGAAATGATATCAACTAAGCAGAATATAGCCTTTAGATTAATTGAGGAAAAAATATTAATTCCAAATATTAATTCCAGTATGTTTCATTTGCCTACTTTAAAATCACATGTTAATACTTTCATTCATTGTTATTGCTGAATGTCAAGATAGGAAAAACAAATTCTTTAGAGGATGATGACAGTTACTTGCGCAGTCTGGATTTGGTGATGAGTCTTTCCAAATTTTTAAAATGTCCAAGGAAGGACCCTACTTAATGAGGCCTGAATCATATATACAGATTGTTCTCTTATCTTGATTCTGACCTGATCCTGATCTGATCTTGATTCTGATGTTAAATTATGCACATTTAAAACCTTCTGCCTTTGGCATTCAGCATGACTGAACTTTGCTAAGCAATTTACTTTTAATGTAAAACTGACACACACATGAAATGAATCTGGCATGCCATGTCATTGAACTGCATCTAGCAATACATATGACAAGTGCGCATCATTAAGAAATAAATACTGTCACTGAAACAACTAGGCTTTATGTAATTCAAGGCACAGTAAAATATTTACATCAACTTTTGTGGGGTTTTTTAATATTTTAGGTCAATGATTTTCAATTTTTTTTCCCGTGGTTCAGATGTTTTGTAATTTCATGGTCATGTTGGAATTTGACTGTAACTTTAATTATAGATTAATTGCTAATATGTGGCATTCGCTTAAGAAAAAAATACAGCATTTCAACTTTATAAAGTTACTAACCCGTTCCTTGAAGCTGTGATGGACTGACTGACTCTATTTACCCTTTTCTTTTCAACAGTGACCAGTTTAGGTTTTCATCAACTATTGAACTTTTAGCTACATTTTCTAACAATAATTCTATCTTCTGAATGAGTAATGTGAGATTTTGTTTTGTTATGTTTTGTTTTTTATTTAGAAAGTGCTCTATTTCCTCTTTTTGCAATAGGACAGTGTTTACAAAAGCCTGCGTTCCTGAGAGCAGTGAAGCAGAAGGTACTCATGATATTGGCTACTTGCTGCTGGGGTGGAATTTTATCACTGAAGGATATACAAAATAAATAAATAAATAAATAAATAAATAAATAAATAAATAAATAAATGAATGAATAAACAAATGTAGAAAACATCCTACAGAAATAGGGGGAGATGGCATAATCTATTAGTTCAGGCTGTTTCTTCCATACATGGGTGGGTTTCTGCAGGGCTAACAAATGATTGATATCCCAGTCCTTTCCTTAAATAATTGCTTGGATGCTGAGCAAGTTCTTTAGAACTATCACATAAAGCTCAAAGAAGAAAAGGAGAAGTCTTCAAAACTGCCACACAAATGACAGAACAGTCTCAGAAGTCTGAAAGTGGTTAAAGTCTGACAAATAGCAAAACAAAGGCACTTTATCGGTATCAGTTAGATTGGGGGTGTCTCTGAATCCTATTGATACTGTCTATAAATAAGTATCCCACATTCTGAAAATAGTGCCCTCTAAAGGTGCAATTCAGTCGGACAAATCACCTCAACCTCTGGAATCAAGTAAAAAGAGGAAAGGTATTCTCTGATCATGTGAAGTGGATCAGTATCAATCTTACTTTGGTTATGCAAAGATCTTTAGATAAAAGTATAATTCCATGCATGCTCAGTTGATTTCCTTACAAAATCAGTATCCTTAGTGGTGATACTGATCTATCCAATCAAGTTTTCCTTGATCATTTGCATATTTTTTCTACTATAAATAGTTTGAACATCTGCAGCAGTAATTTATAAGCCTCATATTTATATTATTATTTATAGTATGTTTTATTAGTTTGCACTGGTACTATAAAAAAGAATACACTGAGATGCATTGGAGAACTTGGGAAGTAAGCAAGTGGTACCAAAAATACACTTGACCAAAGGGAGAGAGGACAAGGTAGTAAGGAAAGCATGATTAAGACTGGGTCATGGATTAGCTCTATAGAATTAATACAGCTGAGTATTAACCACCTTTTTTTAAATAGTGGAAATGGGATCATGTTTTAGTATAATATTGAAAATAGGATATGAGGTGGGTTGGGGTTTTTTTCCTTCATTTTTTCTTTCTTTTATTTTTTTTTTAATTTAGAAGAAATCTGTACTAGTGACAGTCCCATTTTTGCTTGTCTACTCCCAAAGGCTCTCTGAAAAGCACTATAGCTGAACTTCCATTGCTTTAAGGACCTGTTTCGTATATTAAAAGGACAGCATAAATATCTCAGACAACCGTGATTTTAAAGGGTTTTTTTTAAAAAAAAAAAAAGAAAATAATAGAAGAAAGCCTGGAATGTATTTTTTTTTCTCACTGCATGAGTTCAAATCAGACAGACTTTAACAAAATCACTGGGTTCACTTCTATGTAAAAAAAAAAAAAACAAAACAAAAAAAAAAAGTGAAAATAAAATCAGACTTCTCTATCTTCCTTGTAATTGATCACACATTGCAGAGTAAAATACGTAAGTCTATCCTTAGCTGTCTAAGCTAAGTAAATTTATTCCACTCATCTGATTTGAAAAAAATGCTTCTGTGATATTTTAAATGCTAAAAACTTTAAATTTATTTGTCAGGAATGAACAAACCAGGAGATTTCTGTGCAATAAAAATTTACAGAAGAAATAGTGACCTGCTATTCTGATACTGAGGGTAAAATTATATAAGAACGTACTATGTTCTCCTATTTGATGACTGCAGACGGTTTTAGCTTCCTTATGTGTTATATAATAAATAAGTAAGTCGATGTTAGCATAAACTGGTAAAACAAGCTTTGCAGCATGGGCTGTCAAGCTTTTCAGGAGCTGGACTTACTAGTTCTTTATAGCCTGCTTCTCCACTCATTCATCTTTGAGTATTAAAATTGATGGATCATTCCTCAGCCTGCCTCTTTTCTAAATTCACAAGGGGATAGACATATTTTTTGTCATGTCTATAAAATTTATAAGCCTCATATTTTAAAGTACAAATTTTCACTTTTACTCTGCAATATGCTGGTAAAGACTGCTCACAGAAAAAAAAAAAAAATCAGTATAGAATTGAAAATTCCTTGGAGATGTATTTATAGATTTGATAAAAGTTATTGGCTATCTTAAAAAATAATACTATAAATGGGGAAATTTCTTGTCTCAGATGTGCAAGATTAGTACTGGGGAAGATAGGTTGGGTGTGGTGACAGTGTGCTCTGCTATGCTCATTCACAGCCTTGGAATAATCTCTTTAGAAATGGGAAAAGCCAAAGACTGCTTCCAACTGTATAGTGGAATGCAAAGGATGATTAAAGAAAAAAATGGGGTTTCAATAAAAAAAAAAAAAAGGAAAAAGAAAACAGTACCTCTATAACTTGCTAGATTGCAATGGCTGGGAGAAACCAATTCCATTTCACAAAAATTTTCCATGTCTATAAATATATTTTGAAATGAATTGTGTTGAAAAATCTATTTTGCAAGGGACTAGAAGTAGGAAAGAATAGGGAAAAAAGAAATAGAAAAAAAAAAACCACAAAAAAAAAAACCACCAGCAGTATGTGTTTGTGAAGTGTTTTGGCTCCCAGATAGCATATTCAATCAAAAACATCTGACAACCTCCACATTGGAATCTTCTGCTTGTCAGTGAGAGTACTGTGAAAAAGAGAACAGTTAATATAATCACTTCAGACTTTCAGAAAGTCCCTCCTGATGTTCAGTTAAGGAAGTATGCTGTTATGATTTTGTTCCAGGAGCAAAGCCTAGTAAGGATCACAAACTCTGTCTAAGTGCAAACTTAGACACTGAGACTGAAGACCTGGAGACTTGGAATCTATTCAATATAGATTCAGTATGTTTTCTTGGCTGTGTCTCCTCAGGTGTTCTAGGAGAAAAAAATAAAAGTTCCTGGGAGAAAGGAAAGTGCAAATGCAGCCATTGCATGACCTCTGGAAACCCAGAGATGGAGAGAGGAATAAAAAGGGAAGCAACTCATCCAAATACAGAGACTGGCTAGATATGCATATGACATTTTATTTGTGTATAGAAATGGTAAAGAAAATTCAGAAAGGTATATGACCTGGGTTCAGCAGGATCAGTCATTTTTCTCCTTAGCAGGTGGTGCAGTGCTGTTTTTTGACTTTTGGCCTGGGAACAGAGCTGATAACACTGATGTTTTAGATGGTTTTAAACCACGACAGCATAATACATATGAAGCAATGCTGAGAACTGCAGGGAATCTGTACAATGTGTTCCAGCAAATGCAAGGAAAACACACACGTTATCAGTCGCTCAGCCCTATTACCAACAAATCACTCTGTTGGTACTCAGATTTGAGACAGCTTTATTTGCAAATGCCTGGGACACCTGCTATCATCTCCCAGTGTTTCTCCCATCAGAGTCCAGAGACCTTTCTGCTGCAATTCAATGCTTCTTTTTGCTGCCTGTGCATTTTCTTTTAGAAGCAAGTTACTCTTTACTTCTGGACCTTAACAGGTGTCTAAGATATGCAGCTGTATTCCACCAGCAGGCAGTACTCTTCTGAGGCTTATCTGAATCTTTTTTAAGTTGTAGCAGTAGTTCTTCTGCATTTGTAAATATCTTTCTGTCATTTCTTTCCTAATCCAATGACTCTCTCAGTATACTTTCTTTTCTGTTCTCCATTCTGCAGGATGAAGATGGCAAGGCAGAGAGATGCAACTTTTGTAATTCTTTCTGCTTTTTTACAAATACAGATGAAAAGCCATGCAAAGAGTAGTCTTGTGACATAATATGAAATTACTGGAAGTCCTTTCCAACCCTAACTATCCTATTCTAATCCTAACTATCCTATGATCCTATGAAGTGTGTACTCACGCAAAGTGAAAGAACTACTATCCTGTAACATGCTTCTAAACTATATCCTAAATATATCCTAAGGTATATCCTAAAATTCGTTTTGAAAAGACATAGTAATAGACTAATAAACATAGTTATAAACATAGTAACAAGCATAGTAACAAATGTAGTAACAAGCATAGTAACAACAATAGTATCAAAGTCCAGATGCCAGCTCCCCACTTGGGGAGATGCTCCAGCAGGTGGGCTTTTGCTGGTGAAGCTGAGTGAGCCAGCAAGGCCTCCTGCGAGGGCTGGGTGGGCCTGAGGGCGCTGCTCTGGCTCCGGGGAGAGGTAGTGGAAACTTCCATCCAGAGCAGAAGGACATGGTGGCACTGTCCTCGCTGCTGCTAAGGTGCTGCTGGGGCTGCAGGATGGAACTCCAAGCCCAGGCAGCAGAGCTCATCCAGGGAATCCAAAGTAGTAAATGGGCACCTACAAGGGCAGAGTCAGAAAGCACTGATGAAGCCACAATGGCAGGAACAGGCAGGACTTAGCTCCTGGGCTTTTCGGAAGTATGCTGTAAAAGAGGTCATTGCTAGCACAGGAGAGGGGCTCCTTACTGGTTCCTTACTGGCAGCTACAGTGTTGCTTTGGTAGCTTCTCAATACATGTAATACCCTTAGAGCACAGGAAGTTGACAGAGATGTGCAGTGCCACCTTGCCAGGCAGCAGGGTTCGGCAGGGAGCCCTTGGAATCTGGGATTTGGTCCTTTCCAAAACCCAAGCAGCAGGATCCCTCGCTCTGCCATACTAAAATCACAGGTTGGCAGGCAATGCTGGGGTAGTATGTTTCTCCTGACATACATGTTCCCCCGAGGGCAGGACCATCCTGTGCACCTCAGGAGCATTTCCTACATTCAGAGCTTGGCAAAAAGGTGGAACACAAGGTCTGCTACATACCTGGGTCCCTTGTTATTCCCCTGCTTGAATTTCTTCAGTCGCCCATCCCTGAGAGCTCAGTTCTGCTTTTCTTCTGGCACAGTGGCCCATCAGTGCCCTCTTCCCAGGTTGCTCTTCGCTTCCTGGTCTTCCGTGAAAAGCCTGGGAAGCTTTCCATTCAATAATATTGTTAGACAGGTGAAGCCATGATTACCTTAAACCAAGCAAAGCCAGGCAGCTTTACCTTTTCTCCCCAGAAAAGCTCCTCTGTTTTTTGCTCTCGGGAGTGATGGGAGGCACCTGCAATGCAAATGTGTAGGTTAGCAGGGGGCAAGGACCTCCCTATACAATTGCTACTTTAGCTCTAAAAGGTACATCCCTTGGATGGGTTTGCTCAGCTCAGTTGGGCCAGCTGTGGTTGGATCACCTCACAAAGCAGGATGGCCAACTTGCATCAGCCTAGCTCTGTGCTTTGGTAGCAGCCTAACCTTCTGAGTAGAGAGGCTTTTGTTGTCATGCTGCTTGTGCACTTCACTTACCTCTGCTGTTTCCAGCTCTGCTTGTGGTGCTGGTGTCTCCTCATCCTCCTCTCTGGCCAGCCCAGCCACATGCTCTCCAAGGAGCTCCTCATGGTGGTCGATGAGGAACTCGACGAGCTGCATCACCTGCACACAGCAAATCACTGGTTTCACTGAGGGGGCTGATGAGGGCTTAAACAGCCTTTCCCAGCCTGACCTGCATTTCTGTGCAGAAAGGTGCAGCCATGGGGATGCTCTTCCTGGCTTCTGCCGAATGGCTTTGCTGATGGGAGGCGGCAGCCAGGAACCTCTGAGCAGCAAAGCTGGGCTGGGCTGGGGACGCTGTAGCCGGGTGGTAAACACAGCATACCTTTCCTGTCTCCAGAGCCAGGACATCCAGGGGCAGCTCCTGGGGTGGACTCAGGAGGTTTGGTGCCAGGCAGATGGCCAGGTTCCCAGACGTCATCTTGGTTGTGGCCACATTCTTGCTGATGCTGCCAAGCAGCAATAGCAAGTGCCATAGCAGGAGGTTGGCCTCTGGCAACTTGCTGGCCACCCTGAGGGAAGAGGAGCACAGCATTAATGAAGTTGGTGTTGACAACACAGGTCTCCCAGGCTGATCTCACAAAAGGCCATTGCCTACTCTACAGCAGAGGGACTGCCTTTGCTGAGATACAGCCACCTCCCTCCCTCCCTGCCCTTCTGAAAGAGGCCCTTGTTGGAGCAAGCCCCAATGCCTGTGGGAAGTGCTCTCTGGAGAGAAAAGCTTTTCAGTGCCTCTTTTCCCCCAAACGTAAACCCCACAGCAGCCGGTGGTGGCTTGCAGGAGCCATGGCTATTTCAGGCAGGCCACTGCTTTGCATTGGAGTCCCAGCCTGTGCCAGTCCCTGCTGGCTGCTGCCACACTTACTCTTTCAGTGCTGCCAGCCTCTCCTTTCTGCTGGTCTCCATGGCACACATCCACTCCTTGTACAGCTGTACACTGAGGAGCTTAGAGGGGACCTTCCAGAGGAGGTCCTGCAGTGCCAAGGGCTCCATGTGAGGCTTTGGCCACTGCCTCCAGAAGCACAGGCAGCATCCCTGGCCCTCTGGCTCATGAGCAGGTGGCTGGGTTTCTGCTTGTGCTCCTGCAGGTGCCCATCAGCACCAAGAGAGCCAGGAGCTGCAGGGCTCTGGGTCAGCAAGGCTTACTTTCAAGAGAACAGCCAGCAGTAACACAGGCTGGTTTTCCAGCTGTACTGGCACCCCACTGTCCAGGGCCTCCCTGATCTCGTGGCAGGCACGCTTGTTGGCCGAGTTGCTGGGCTGGAGACAGGCCCTGAGGTAGGTGCTGGGGACAGCCTCTATCTGGAGGAGCCTGACGGATGGGATGGGGAACTCCCTCCCAGGCTGGCTTACCTGGATGGGCTGGGGCAGCATGCCATCCTGGCTGCAGAGATCTGCCAGGGGCCGGCCAGAAAGAGCTCTCACACCAGCAGAGCCCAATGGTCCTGGTGCCCCTGCTGCAGCCAAGGTGTCTGGCCATGCAAATGGGCAGGGCAGCCTACCGCTGCTCCTGCGGGTCCGCCTGCTGTCAAGGGAAACAGAGCAAAGAGCCGTGGAGGAGAAGCACCAGGAGAGTGCTCCCAGACTCCCTCAGTGCTGTCTACCTGCAATGTTCTACCCGGGAACAAGGGACCCTGGAGCTCAGGTCTCTCCTGCTGCAGAGGATGGATGTGCCCTTCGGGAAGGGCAGCGGCAGCCCCATCACTGCACGTGTGCCAGCTTGCAATAGCAGGAGAGAAGGGCCATCGTGCCCCTTTCTTCACACTCACCATCCACATGGCCATGTCTGCCTTTACTGCCAGGGGGGACAGGAACTGGCAGCTTCTTGGCACCAGCCTGCAAGAAATAGGCTGCACTTACCAAGGAGCCCCACAGCAGAAAGGGGCCCTGGCCAGCTGCATCAGCCTCTGGCCGTGTGTGAGAGGTGGGGATGGGTGAGATTGCACCTCAAGTGACCCTGACCTGAGCCTAGTGCTGGAGCAGCTTCTCCAGGCTGCCGGCATCCAGTGCTGTCCCCTGGGCAAGGGGAAAAGAGCAGAAGGTGAGGAGCGATGCAGCTAATACTGGGCTGGGGAAGCCCCTGGGGGTAGAGCAGAGAGAGGACACTCACAGCATGGCAGCCACTCAGCTCCTTCAGCACCACCCTTACAGATGGCAGCTGGGTCACCCTGGCTCCCTGAACTCCTTCCGGTGGTTTGTGCACAGGGAAGGGGCAGAGAAAGAGCTGTGTGAGACCCAAGTCAGATCTTCCCTCTGCTGCCAGCCTGGGAAGTGCTTCCACACTGCCAGGAACAGGTGGTACTGCCCAGCAGTGGAGCAGGAACAGTGGTTGTGGTGAGGGTGGGGCTGGACAGGTATTGACTGGACACAGCTGGATAAAGCATCTTCACCAGATGTGCCCACTCAGCAGTGGGGGCATCTCTGCCTGCAGCTGTGGGGGCACCTCTGCCCAGCTCAGCAGAGGTGTCTTCTGATCCTTCGGATGCCACTCATGGAGCATCCCGCCATGATGGAAGCAAGGGCAGCCCAAGCTGCAGTGCCAGGAAGGGCTTACCTAAGGAGGGTGTTGACCCAGAGTTCCTTCGCTACTCGGGAACTGCAAAAAGAGGGGAGAAACAGCCTTAGTGCCTGCTGTGCCCCAGTGGATGATGACCCATGGGGTAGGGCAGAGGTGCTACCACCTCTCTGATGAAACATTGCACCAAGACTCACCAGAAAGTAATGACACAGGAGCCGCAGGGCCAGAGGAAGACAAGGGAGCTGGTGGCCTTCCCTTCCTTCTCCTCCACAGCAACATCGCTGGCTGAACCCTTCCCTCCGCTCAGCACCTGGAGGAGGCCCAGGGCCAGGCAGAGCTGCAGGCACAGGGTGCTACCACGTCTGCAGAGAGGAGTGGCAGGGAGTGAGCTGGAGGTGGCCGAGCCCACTGGCTCCCTTCTTGTGCCCGCCAGCCACGGATGCATCCACCACCAGGGTGCCGGGGGTCTGGGGCTGCTCCTTGGCTGTCCCTGCTCTGGTGCCCTGGTGGAAGGGCCAGGCTTGGGAGGAAAGGCAGCTGGGCTCTGCCAGTCTTACTTGGTCTTGGTGATGACCAGGGTGTCTCTGAAGAGGAGGAGGTCCCTCTTCTTTCTCTGGCTACAGCCCTGGGTCACCTGCACGTGTTTCCCGAGCAGCAGCTCAGGCAATGCCTGGTCAGGTACACACTGCTGGTCGGGGCCAGGGTCATCCCTGCAGGACAAACAGCATCAGACATGAGCAAGGCAGCTGCTGCAGGGCCCAGCTTGTGCTGGTGCATCCCCGAGCGGTGGGGGAACCCACTTGGGCCCGCAGCAGCAGAGCCACTGCCCCATCCAAACAGTGGCACGAGAAGACTTGCAAATAAAAGCTTGTCACTCTCAGGATGGGAGGGCTCCTCCACAAAAAAGAGAAGCACCCCCAGTGCAGCTGGTGCTGACACTTGCAGCACTGTTCGTGCAAGCACTGGGGCTGTTGCTGGGCCAGCACCGGGTTAGAATGGAAAACCATTTTGACCTCAGTTCTGGAACCCAGGGGCCCAGATGGGGTATGTGCAACCCCAGCCCCAAGGACTGCTCACTTACAGTTGCAGTATCCACCATCGGAAAGTCAAGGCTCCTGCAGACATGGTCTTCCTACTCACAGGACCTGGGGAGCCCCAGGTCTATCATGCATGCTGAAGTCTGAGGCAATGCTAAAGCGTTAAATGCCTGTCTTTTCTTCATCCCCACTTTTCAGTGGCCATCTTCATAAAGTATGGTTTCAATACTTTTCTTAGGCCTCCGCTTGCTATTAGCATACATCAAAAAGCCTTTTGTTGTTGTCTGATGGAACACTGACTAGTTTCATCTCTAGCTGAGCTTTGGCCTTTCGCGATGTCTCCCTCCATGTGTGAGCCACAGCTCAGTAGTCTTCCTGAGAAGCTCAGCCTTGCTTCTAGAAAGCACACAATTTCTGTTCCCATCATAATTCCAAGAGGAGTTCCAAGCTGCTCTTCTGTTGCACCTGCTTGACTTCCATTGACATGATGGGATTGCTACTCCTGTGTTTTCAAAAGCTGGTTCTTTTCTAGGAAAGCTTGTGTTTTTTTCTTATTAGTTGGTGGAGACATTGCTGTTATCTTGTTGTTCACACCTGTGGGGATCTGAAGATGTCCATCTTGCCATTTTATTGTCCAAAATTGAATCTCCCATGAAGGTCCCTTGATTTTTCTCCAGTTTATGGCAAAAACCGCTTTCAGGAGGATTTGGATCATTTTCCTCCCTTTCTCAAAGACTTCTTCGTCTGTATTACCCCACACAATAATGTCATCAATGTATTGCAGGTGCTCTGGAGCTTGCCCCTGTTCCAGTGCCGTCTGGATCAGTCCATGCAGATGGTAAGGCTGTGTTTCCACACCAGGGGCAGTCGGTTCCAAGTGTACTGGACACCCCTCCAAGTAAAAAGGGAACTGTGGCCGGCACTCTGCTGCCAAAGGAATTGAGAAAAATGCAGTGGCAATATCAGTTGTGGCATACCACTTGGCTGCCTTTGACTCTAGCTCAAACTGAAGTTCTAGCATGTCTGGTACGGCAGCACTCACAGTATCATAATATGCTAGAGATTGGAAGGGACCTCAAAAGATCATCTAGTCCAATCCCCCTGCTGGAGCAGCAACACCTAGATAAGTTTACACAGGAACACGTCCAGGCAGGTTTTGAATGTCTCCAGAGAAGGAGAATCCACAACCTCCCTGGGCAGCCTGTTCCAGTGTTCTGTCACCCTCATTGAGAAGAAGTTTCTTCTCAAGTTTAAGTGGAACCTCTTGTGTTCCACTTTGTACCCATTGCCCCTTGTCCTATCATTGCCACTGAGAAGAGCCTAGCTCCATCCTCGTGACAGTCCCCCTTTATATATATATATATACACTAATAAGGTCACTCCTCAATCTCCTCCAAACTATAGAGACCCACCTCCCTCAGTCTTTCCTCATAAGGGAGATGCTCCAATCAATGGTGGTGTGACTTCATTCGGGCCACGATAATCTAATGTTAGTCTCCACTCTCCATTAGACTTTTGCACTGGCCATATGGGGCTATTAAATGGTGAGTGGGTCCTGATGATCACTCCTTGGCTCTCCAGTCTATGGGTTAGCTTCTGGATGGGAGTCAGGGAGTCCGGGTTGGTGTGAGATATTGCTGCCGGTGCACTGTTGTGGTCACAACTGGCATTTGTTGTTCTTCTACCTTCAGCAACCTCACAACAGAAGGACCCTCTGAGAGACCAAGCAAGGCGGACAACTGCTTAATTTCCTCAGTCTCCAAGGCAGCAATACCAAAAGCCCATCAGTACCCTTTTGGGTCTTTGAAGTACACTCTCCTGGTATATTCTTTTTTTTTTTTTAATTATTTTTTTATATTTTTATTCACTGAATAAAGAAGGTAAAGTGTTTCAAAGAAAAGTAATATAATGATTACTATACAGGCTTAGCTGATACAGTTACTTCTTTGTTTCATAGCTGTGTCTATATTCATCAATATCTAATAATTTAATGTATTAAGTGAATATTACGATGCTTGGAAAGGTAGATACAGGGAAAAAATTAATACATTTACAAAATCATTATTTTTTTATATATATCGCTCAAGATCAAAGAGTTAGTAGGACACTGAAAGGGTGTAGACAAATTAAGAGAGTAGCTCAACCGCAGAAGACAGTTAATACTGATAATGTGAGTCAACCATACACACTGATTGTCCTTCGCTTTGATCCAACTGAAAACTGAGAACTGAGAACTGGAATTGACAGAATGAGTCTGCATCAAAATGAATTAGCACAAATGAAGATTGACATAGAAAGAAAGGAGGAAAATTAAAAATAATTTTTATAAAGTGATACTACTTCTTCATCTGAAATACTGAATTTTATTTAAGTCAGTCCTGTTCAAACATATTGAAATTTTAATTTCTTTTATATGTATTTTTTTGAATAGAAGTATTAGGGAAAAAGAAAGCTTCACTGTGAAAACTCTGGTCTTATTTACACAGGATTGCACAATAATAAAAAGTAACACAAGAAGGCATATTTAATGGATTGCGTAAGTTACCCTTTTAAGTAGATCATGACTTCTAAGTCACTATTTAAATATAATGTAGGATCATAAAGCCATAAATTGAACTGAAAAGTAAACCAAATTAAACATTCTTCTAAGTATTGTCTTTTTAATTAGCTAGTATTAATCGTTACCACGGGTTAAAAAATATAAATATATATATTAGTAACAGGAGTGACTAGTAAAGGATTGATAATAACTTTACTCTTTCAAGTAGAATACAGCTGAGTACACTTACATGTCTACAGCATGGACAAGCCCTACTGGTCATTTAAAGTTCCACTAAATCAGGTTGCTCAAAGCCCATCTAACCTGGCCTTCAACACTTCCAGGGATGGGGTATCCCCAGCTCCTCTGGGCAGCCCATTCCAGTGTCTCACCACCCTCACAGTGAAGAACTTCTTCCTAATACCTAACCTAAATCTACCTTTTTTCAGTTTGAAGCCATTCCTCCTTGTCCCATCACTACATGCCCTTGTAAAAAGCCTTTCTCCATAGTTCAGTGGCATTACACATCCTTTCCTAAGACACTTCAAATAGGCCCAGTGGAGCTGTTGTGATCATTATGTCCACAGTACTGGGGGAGCAGGAAAGTGTAGTGACTAAGCTGCTCTCCACCACCTTTGAAAAGTCATAGGAGTTAGGTGAAATCCTCAGTGATTGCAAAATGGAAACATCACATTTTCTAAAAGCGTAACAAGGAAGACCTTGGCAATATACTGAACAGTCAGACTCACGTCAATACTCAGTAAGGTCATGGAACAAAACCTCCTGGAAGATATGGCAAGGAATACGGGTGACAAGGAGACGATCAACGTGGCTTCACAAAGGCAAATTGACTTTCTACAGTGGAGTGACTGCACTAGTGGATAAGTGGGCTGATGTCATCCATTTTGACTTCTGCAAGACCTTCGACATGGTCTAATACAACATCCTTGTCTCTAAATTGGAGAGATATGGATTTGATGGATGCACTATTCAGTGGGTAAGGAGTTAGCTGAACGACTGCATCCAAACAATTGCAGTCAAAAGTTCAATGTCCAAATGGAGATCACTAACAGCTGGTGTCTCTCAGCAGTCCATATTAGGTTGACTGTTTATAAAATAATAATATATATCTATAACCCTGTACAATATCATATATATTGGGCCTTGTCTCTGCATAATCATTGCTCAGCAGTAACAAAAAAATCTCCGTATAATCGGCATTGTTTCAAGCACAAATTCAAACCATCATGCCATACTAGCTACTATGAAGAAACTTAACTCTCACAGCGAAAACCAGCACATTACATAATGATAATGAGATAAGAAATATTTCAGTAGCCAAATACCTAAATACTATCTATAAAATAGCAGTTCTGTTTTCAAGTCCTCTTTATCTTAGTTGTATTCATTCTTCTAAGAGAGAATTTGAAGGATTTTAATTATTATTATTTTAATTAAAATTAGTTATTTGAATTCTTCTCTTCCCCAATGTGT